AAGAAAAAATAAATAAAAGACCAAGAAATACTTACAGGACTAGCTCTAATTAATTTGAATGTGGGTACAATTAAGACAGTCACGGCCAAGAATGTAAGGGTATCCAATCCTAGATCATTGATGACTTCAATAGCGCCAGCAACATCATATGCCACATTGGTTCGCAACCGCTCCCAATGGACAGGCCGGTACTTAGAGAAGTAGAACCCTTTCCAACAAGAGAATGAGGAAGGAAAGGAATTTGTGTTCTCAAAACAATTTTCTGACACAGAAATTCTATAAGTTATCCTGTGATTAACTCGGTTGGATAATAGTGGTGGCCCTGGTTTGTTATCTGAATACATCATGAAAACAGAATTTCTACAAATTGGCGAAATAGCATGATTGTGTGCCCAATTTGGACTCTTCTGCTTGGTACTATCATAGCCCTGCATGGAAATTCCATGAAAATGTTAGAATGCCCAGCAACTATTCAACTGTGCACATTAAGCATCAAGTTCATATTTGGCAATTTACATACAACTTTTACTTGAATACACATGAACTAAGTAGCAGTTTTCTAAGTTTAAAATTTTCCTTTGTTTCTCATTTCCTTAAAAGGGCACTATTGGAATTGAAACTCTACCGTGTAATAGCAAAAACTCAACAACTCCATTTCTACGTATTAACCACAACGTTTAAAACCAAACTAACAATATCCGCATTAAGCAACAAGTTCATATTTAAAAGTTTACAAATATCAATAGCGGTTTCTCGAGGAAACAAAATATAGTTCATTCAAATTAAATTTGAATATACAATTAGATGAAGAAAATACTTTAAAGTTAAAAAGTCTTTAATTTCCATTCTTCCCCTTTTGACCATTCCATCGAAGGGAACAAAAAGAAACATGGAGAAAAATGTCACTGCTCCTTATAATAACAAAATCACAAGAAACACACATCTACATTAAGAACAAACTAATTCAAGAAAGCCCACAAACAGAGTGAATAACAATATTGAAGATGGTACCTTGAAGCTTCGGCAGTAAGCTAGTGACCCTGTCATATTGATAATGCTCACCAAGCTATAAAACACCACGGGAAGAAGCTCATTTGTAAGCCATTGCTTCACTTATCGATACCTAGCTTGATATTTGAGGATATTTGAGCTAAATTTTGAACTCTTGATTTGACTATCCCTACCTTGCAGAGCCAAGCCAAGGGGCAAAAATATCCAACCCCGAAAGTGAGGATGATAAGTGAACACGCGCAAGCAGCGAAAGACTTGGAAATTTTGCAGAAAGTGAAAGCGTTGCAGAAATGAGTTGGCTGAATTATGTGTGGAGCGAATGAAACTTGTGGGTATCAATTGAAGTTATTTTTATTGTTATTTTTTTAACGTCTAGCTACGGTGGTGAGGATAAATGATAATCATGGATGAGAAATCAAGAGGGAATTTTGAAGAGAGAGCTACGTAATGCCAACGTGGCCGTGTGGTTACGTTCAACATGTGATTATCGGGTAAGGAAATAGATAAAGTACCTTGCCCAAAAAAAAAGTATACATGATGTACATATAGACGTACTGAAAAATACATATGCGTATGGGTAGATAATGTTTGGGTTTGGCCGATGAAAGATGAACTTCATGTTTGGCAACCTACTTTAGCAACAATTTTATCTTCTTAAAAAAATAAAAAAAAAAATTATTTAACAATGTATTTTTAAAAAATATTTTGAAGAATAAAAAAATTTAATATTATTTTAGAGAATAAAAAATATATCTTTTAAGTTTTTTTTTTTACTAAAATTTTTAAGTTCTTTGAGATTATTATTCTAAAAAAATAAAGGAAATTGGGAAAAAAATCTTTTTAATTATTTATTTTTTAAAAATATTTTATGAAATATTAATTTTTAAAATAATAAAATAAAAATAGTTTTCACACAACCTCAAAATTCTTCCGGAGCTTGTAAGAGTAAATTTTTTATCTATTGAAAATATTTAATTTTTAAAATATATATATATATATATTATTTTTAAATAAGCCGCACTATGGCTATGGGTAATGCAGCTCCATATATGTTATGTTATATGGGTTACTATTGAGTATTTATAATTTATTATATGATATTATCTACTATATATTGATAAAATTTAGAAATTATAACTGTAATTTCCATATAATTCATCTTACATTAAAATTATGTATTCAAAATTTTATTTATTTATAATTTATATAAGAATAATAATAAAAAAATAATATAATTTTTTATCTCAAAATTTTTTCTTCAATTATCAATTTAATTCTTAAACTTTGACTTAGTACAACTCAATCATTGAGATATACTAAATTAAGGAATTATAGAATTGAGTATGCCGAGTCAAGAAATTATAGGGACTGAATTATTTTAAATTAAGAAATTATAAAAAGTTATTTCAAGTTAAAGTTTAGGGATTTGATTAATAATTAAGAAAAAGTTGAAAGACCAAAAGTTATATTTTTAAAAAAATAAATTAAATTTAAAATTATAATTTTTTTATATATAACAAAATAGTTTGTTAAAAATTGTCATTCAACAGCATGATTTAATGCCAAAGTGCTGGTCTTATTTATTTAAAAACTTTAGTCCCTAAGTTTCAAGAAATAATTTTAGTTTTTATAATTTTATTTTTTACAGTATAGGAACCAACATTTTAAATGACTAAAATTATAAAATTTAAATTATATTAATTTAAAATTAAAAAATTCTTTTAACTAAATTAAAATTATAGGAACCAAATAATTAATTTTTTATTCTTTTAAAATGTGAATCCTTTATATTAGAGTAGTTAAACACTGGCCTAGAAGATATTATAATAGCTAAACCAATGAGCAAATGCACTGTTTATAAGTTATAAATAGTATTATTTATCTTAAACCATGTGCAAATATTCTCTATTCTTATTATAAAATACTTTCAACTTCTTCACTAGAATCTAAGAATGACAGTTAACTTATTAAATTAAATGTCTTAAAATAAAAAAAATCAACTTTATCCTTATTAAAAATAAAAACATGCATAGTATACAATGAACTATAAAATTAAATTTATAAAGATTAATGAGCAAAATGAACCTTAAAGTATTGTGTGAAAAGCGCTCTGAACCATAAACTCTTAAAATGTTCAAAATATATCCTAAATTTTTAAATTCATAATAAATCAAACCCCACCGTTAAATGCTGATTAATGCCATTATTGTTCACTCAATAAGGCCTAGTTAAAATGCTAATATGACAGTCGCTTGCTGATGTGGCATTTTTAATTAGCACCACAAGCTCTAAACTATTACAAAAGTAGCATCATTGACCTTGAACTTTGAAGTTTAGAGCAAATTACTTTTAACATTTATATGTAAAATGTTAACTATTATGTAGACTAAACTAAGCTCAACATGGTCCAATGAGTGCATCATTGGCCGTAGTAAATGACCCATAATTTTGTGAAATAATGTTTTTATCCTTTTTTTACAATGTTTTTCAAACAATCGGTATATCATGTTTCTATATACCCTAAACTTTGATTTAATCTTATTTTGAATAATATGTATTTATTTAATGATAAAAATTTGAGATTCTATTTGAAAAAAAGTTTAAATATCAAAAGATTTTACAAACAATCGATGCAAAAGCTAACAATTTTATCAACAGATTTCAAACCAAAATGAACCGATTAATTCAAATCTTAAACTTCTTTTTAAATGGGATCCTAAATTTTCACCATTAAATAAATAAGCATTATTCAAAATAAAATTAAATCAGAGTTATTGAGTATATGGAAACATAAGATACCAATTGTTTGCAAACATTGCAACAACAAAAAAGAAAAAATATCATTTCATAAAATTATAGGTCGTTTGCCGTAACAAACAATGCATTCACCTTAATGGACCACACTAAGGCTAGCGAACCACACTAAAATTAATTTAATTTATATAATAGCTAACGTTCTATACATAAATGGTGGGAATAATTTGCTCTGAATTTCAAAGTTTATAATCTAGGATGCTACTTGTACAATAATTTAATATCTATGATGCTAATTAAAAAATGATACATCAACAAGAAACTAGGCCTTACTAAGTGAGCAATAGTGACGTTAATTAGCAATTAATGATGGGGTTAAATTTATTATAAATTTAAAAGTTTATAATTCATTTTGCATATTTAAAAGTTTAAAGTCCAAAATGCTTTTCATACAATACTTTAAAATTTATTTTGCTCATTAACCCATTTTATCATAAATAAAATTTTAAAATAATAATAAATAACTCTTCATATGTCTTATATTAGGAATCAAAGAATTTTAAAAAAATTTCCCTATAACAGGGATTGAAGAGAGTACATAAGGAAATATGTCTTTCCATAAAAATTTTATTAGAAAACTAGAGAAAATATAAATTTTAATTCCTCAATCTTTTTCTCAATTATCATTTGTATTCTTACATTTCAACACATAACAAACTCAATCCCTATAATCTTTTGACTAAGAATAACTCACTCCTCATAATAAGTTGACTCAATATAACTTAATCTCTATAATATCTTAATTTCATATACTAAAAGCTTAAGTTGCATTGAGTCAAAATTCAACGAATAAATCAATAATTGAAAAAAAGTTAGGGACTAAAAGTTATATCATCACAAAAAATCATACTAGTTATAAATTAGGAAAAACATAACTTTAAATCCTTGCACTTACTACTCGTGTTTTGTTATTAGTCTATGTATTATTATTCTAATATTTTTAGTCCCTATACTTTTGTTTTTTATTGTTTTAAGTCTTTGCTCATGTTTTATTATTAGTTCCTAATAACAATGAAAAACAAAAATACGGGGACCAAAAACATTGGAATAATAATACAAGACTAATAACAAAATGCAAACAAAATATAAAAACCTAAACTCATGTTTTTCCGATAAATTATAAAGAAGTTGAATCCAATCTATGAAGTATAGTTGCCAAGTTGTGCGACTGCAAGTAGAGAGAAATATAATTTTGGTGTCCTTCTAATAGTTTTTGGAATACAACAAATACTTGTCTACATGTATATGCAAATGGCCACTACTCCCTGTCTTAAGCATGGAAGCCCCTCAGAAAAGGAGGTTTGTCATCCTTTTGCAACATTCACAAATTCATTACAAAACTAAGTACTATAATCTTATTATTACAAAAGATAAATAAAATATTTTTTTAAAAAAAAAAAAAAACACACACACACACACACACCCCTGGGGAAAGATACTTACATCTGAATCTGACACATACTCAACTATGAACTGCAAGAACAGCTCATTTATACTAAGAATCAGCTCATTCAAAACCATGTAGGGAGTCATTAGTCAATGGAGCTAAGTTGCAGTCTGAATACATTGCATAATCATCTTATGGAATTTAGAGCACGCATTGGTGATACATATGGCTGAGAACATTAAGAAGAATTGGCGGGTACAAACTTGAGCGAAATGCTATTCACACAGTGGCGTTCATTGGTAGGAGTTCGGAATCCTTCATTTTTAAAAACATGACCCAGATGTCCCCCACATGCTGCACATGTTATCTCTATCCTCCTTCCATCTGGGTCCGGCTGTTCCATGCATTCAAAACATCACAATCCCATCAGCCTCAATTGCTTCCCCAATTTAACAATCACACATGTAGACATTCTGTATATTATAAAGGGGCAATGAAACTTTTGATCCTTTAAGTTTGCTTCAGTTTTTGATTTAACTCCAGAAGTTCAATATTTATCAATCAAATATTTAAAGTTTCATAACCATACACAATTAATCCCAGTAATGTTATTTCCCTTTTAGACCATAAAGATTAATTGTGTATGGTCATGAATCTTTAGAGACTTGATTAGTAAACATTAAAATTCTGGGACTAAATTAATAATAGAGGCAAATGTTAAAGGACCAAAAGTTTCATTACCTCTATTGTAAATGTTACCTTAGATCAATCTTTACCACTGTTACTGCAATTTTGAGGCATAGTGAAAATTTAAAACCACCATATTTTAATTAGTATTTTTAATAATTTTAGTTGCTTTAATTTAATAATTAGAAAGAGAGACAAAATAGCTCTGATAAATAAACAAGTAACAGCTATAAGAAAAGCATTGCTCTACTTGACCAGGTTAAACAAAAACTTGAGCTTCCAATAGACTGCTCTCATTGAAAGTACGATTAAATTGCTTCATTTATAAAACTAGAGGGGCTGAAAGAGCAATGAGGCCATAAACATAACAGCAAAGGCAAAGAGGGCAAACCAGAAAAAGGGTTAACTCACCGTGCGATTTATGGCTCCTGGAAGACCCTCATAGAAGGCGGGCCAGCCACACCCAGAATTAAATTTCGTTGTGGACTTGTAGAGAGGAGTGCCACAACCTGCACAGTTGTAGATTCCCTCATCAAAGAACTTGTCATATTCTCCTGTTCCTGGATACCTGCATAATACAAAACCATCTTCTTGATAACATGAAGGCTAATTACCCATCTCGAGTATTATCACCTATTCAAGTTGGCAAATTATTTCCATATCTTCTCATTCATTTCCCCTCTATTCGGCCCCATCTGGTTGAACCATTTCAAAACTACTTTTATTGCACAAAAGTAATATATATATATATATATATATATATATAATGTTACTTATATCATTATCATTTGACAGCAATTGCCCCTTTTTATTATCATTTTTATGTAAAGACAGCAGATATATTTGCTATACATATAATTACTTTTATTTCAACTTTTTAGTATCGTTTTTATGCAAAGACAGCAGATATATTTGCTATACATATAATTACTTTTATTTCAATTATCTTTGCTTTCATTTCTATTGTATTCTGCGTACCAAATGACTATATAAATTACTCATGACTCAGAAATCAAAGTGACAAGACAAGATGTTGCACGTAAGTGGAAAAACTAGAAGGCAAGTAAACCACATCTTACAAGGATGATTAGAGAACAGAAGGCCACTTTTATGAAGCCCTAGAAAGTGTTTGGGATTATAAGATGGGATCGGATGGGATGGGATATTCATTACTAGAACGGAGTGGAATACAATGGTGAATTATGTTCATTCCACTGTAATTAAAGGAGTATCAGGGCTTGACCAAAGAATAGGTCGCTTCCATGCAAGGCTAAATCAAATTTCTCAACACTATACTCTTTGATTGAATATTAATGCAGAACTCGTGGAGCTTCTCCACTTCCTCATACACCTTTAGTGGGTAAATCATCTCCAGACCATCATGGGATGGGATGCTGCCTTCTAAATGTATGATCCAATCGACTTAAAACTAAGTACTCATTCATATCTAGATTCCAATGAAACGGTTCAACAAATTACAAAATGCATATTCGCTCTCACTAGTTTTCTCGGCAAGCATTGACCAAACTAGAAGTTGAAGAGGGGAAGAGGTGGTGATGGCAACTGAAAGAGTCAGAGAGGGGAGCTTTGTTTTGGAAGTGAAAATATACATTTTCATCTTACAGGTGTAGAAGTATTCTTGTAATTGAATATTTATTCCCCCATCATTCCATCCTTGACCTCCAAGTTCGGGATGAGAAAAATTGGGTTTAGGATGTTCCTCTCCCTCCTAAACAATTCTTCCAAACAATGGCTTGAGTTTCTTGGTTGTGCCACTTCATTTCATTCTATGCAAAATAACACCCCCCCCAAAAAAAAAAAAAAAAGGTGTTCCCCTAAGAGTATTCTCCACAATTTCTCGTTTAAGAAAATGTGCCAAGGTTTCCACAGATTCGAATGTTTCTCGTAGAGAACAGTATCAGTATGGTGTCATATACGGGACAATGAACTAGTAATTCTACCTTTCTTATGTTAAAGAAAGAAAAAAACAAAACAAAAGCAAAAGTAGCATCGTAGTCATAAATGATTAATCCAGATACTAATTCATGTAAAGAAACTAATGTAACTATCAATCTGGAAGTTGAAAGAAAATCCTCTTTTACGTAGCCTGCGAGTTTTCTTAGAGTAAAACACTTCTTCATCACCGTCGATTGGGACACCTCCATCTTCTTAACACAATATATAACTCAAAATTGGACATTAAGTTTTGAAGATCAAACATAGCCGAAGGTTAAATCTCTGTTTATCTGTCTTCCCTGAATCATAATCTCCATAAGTAAAAATAATAAAAGCAAGTAAAACGCCTTAATTCCGAAATTAGTCACTGAAAAGCAATCTCTTAATCTTAATCATACGTTCATTCTCAAAATTAACCCGAATTAACGAAAAAGTCCATCGAAATTTCAAAAATCTTCAATTCAACTCAAAACAAAGAAAGAAAAAAAAATCCAAACACATTAAACCAGCAAATTAGCATAATCCATGCTATCCCAATGGGGAAGATAATCTTACTCAGTGCCCTTTTGTCTGAGAATATTAAACTGTTCAGGGGAGAGAACAGCCCGCCACTCTTCCTCCGATTTCTGAACAGACCCAGGAGCAGCCATGGCCACAATTCCACCACGAAAACCACGCTTAAGTGCGGGGATAATGATGGGCTTCGACGAGAAGATGTTGGAGTGAGTATTGAACAGTGAAGTAGGACGACGATTAGGATAAGAATGAAGAGGACGACGGAGGGTAGAGAAGAAGGTATGTGTGGTTCCGGGGTTAAGGAGTACAATGGAATTGGAAGAGGAAAGAGGTGAGAGTCTGAGAATACTATTGAAGCCCATCTTGTATTGTTATTATAGAGTGACGAGGAGCGAAAGATTAGGGGGTTACGCTTTCCTTTTGGAGGATTCATGGTCGTGATCGCTAATCTAGAGCCTTCATTTGTTTTATTTAAAAAGCAAAAAAAGAGAAGAAAAGAAAAACTTCAAAGTAAATTAAAAATAAGGATTGAGTTTCACGGACTATCAATCTAAATTCATTGTTATAAAAATCTAAATTTAAAAAAATGATACTTATAGAAAAATCAGGCTTTAAAATTCGGTCCTAATAGACACTGAAAAAATGTGTTTAATTCAAGTAGCCCTTTTTGGTTTTTTTTACATGTAAAAATTAAAATATTTTTCAACTTTTAAATTGTATTTCAACTTTAAAATATATAGTACCTTAAGATTAGAATTTCTACACTTTAATATTATCATTTGTATTTAAAAAAGATGAAATGTTTATAATTAAAATTTTTAATTTTAAATAATAATAATAATAATTGATTTATGGGCTCAGTCTAAGTCTTTTAAATAAGGGTTGAATTTCATAAATAAATTATTTTAAGAAAATTAAAGTTTCAGCTCATATGGGTCAGATTCACCAGATTTCTAGTTATATTTGTGAAGTGTTTTGTTTTTACTTTTTTTTTTTTAAAAAATATAACCATTGGTCCAAATGTATTTATCATATTTGGGTTTTTTTTCCCAGATATTCCCACAATGGGTGGGCATGAAACAATCTTTCGAGAAATTTAAATATTATTTAAAGAGTTGTCCTCTCTCAAGCAATAGTTTCCATACATATGTTCAAAAAGGCTTAAAATGTTATTATATGTGCCACACTTACTTGATTTAACATATTTTGATATTATTATTATTCTCTATAATTTTTCATTGATCCAAGTCCTTTAAATTTAAATATTTATAACGTTAGTCTTTTTTTTGTCATTGATAGAGTTAAATCTATTTATGTACATATAACTAAATTGATTTTATTATTGAGTTGAAAAAATTATGATAGGTTGGACTTTGTATGAGCAAAATAGCAACTAATATTTCTTTCTGTCTTAGCTGTTGTGTCTTTTTTCTTTGAAAATCCATGACTCATTTGAATATTTTAATTTAATCTTTATTTTTTTTGCCTTCTAGTAAATTTTTATAAAATTTATCATAATTTTAACAAATCAAGAAAGAGTAATCGATTATGTACGCATTAACTATCGTTAAGTTTTTATAGTCATATTTAAAAAAATAAGAACTAATATTACAATCAGATGAAATTTAAATGACCTAGAGCAATGAAAATAATAGAAGAACTAATATTAAAGAATGCTAAAAAATATAAATAACAATAGCTGTATTTTTCCCATCTTTTTATATAATAAAATATGTTTTTTGATGGATAAATTTTAATCAATAATCAATACTCCATCTCGTCTTAATGAGAAAAAATATTTATTACTTCTTCTAAACATAAAATATTTTTAATTGAATCTCGCTTTTTAATAAAATAGTTATTTATTTTTAAATTAATATTTTTTTTTATATTTACTCCTATTTAATATGTGTTTCACCTTGAAAAAAATATAAAGTAATTTATTGGAATAAGAATACTTTTGGAAAAAAAAGTAATTATTATACTTAAAAAGTTTAAAAATACCTATACATTTTTTATTATCCAAGCCATGAAAATGTAAATTTTTAATGGAGGAGTATGTATTTTATCTTTTATTAAAATTAATTACCACAATAAAAATGTATGTAAAAATTAAAAGTTGGTCTAAAAGGGTCATAAGTATTAACTTGATTTACAATTTCATTTCAAAAACAATGTTACTTTCCTTGTAAACTTTTACACACACACACACAACACGCGCACAGATACATAGAGCATTTTGAAATCTATCCAAAAGGTTGTCAGCTTTTAAGAAATGCTTTCTATTCATGTATCTCCAGAAATGAAGCACTGAAATATCATTAAAGGACTTAGATTAGTGTCATCTATACTGCACTCACTTGATTATCGTGCACAATTTTTTATTATTATTATTTTATTTTTCTTTTTACATTTATTGTTCGGACAGATATGTATATGTATATGTGTATGTATGTATGTAACATACCACACAATTTTATTTAGTTTTTTTTTCCATTAGTTTCAATGTTTTCCTCTTATCCTATTTATAGGATGAGAGATAAAAATTTTTTAATTT